CCTGGGGGTTATGAAAAGTTCTTGCTACAGACTCTCTACCAACTTTGAGAAACATCTGTTCTGCATTCTGAATGCATTTTCCCAATAGAGTTTGTTTTAATAAAATCATCACTTTCTCTGCAGTTAGAAAATCCAGTGCAATAAAGGGTTTTGACTACCCTAAAAAGTTGTTGACCCCTGGTTAATGAGGAAATTAAAAAGCAGAGTATAGCATCATTTGTCTAAGACAGTCCTTCCAGAAGCTTCTCTGATGATCACAATATGACAGTTAACCAGAACTGAAGCTCTGAGAAGAGATGAGTGTTCAGTGTTACCTGTACTACTTGCTTTCTTGTTGATGCTCCGTTGTAGTTTCTGTTTGAAATCCGAAGTTTAAGCTGTGGAATTTGACTAGCATGTATATTGAATGAGTCTACTAAAGCAAAGTACTCTGAGTTACAAGAAGGTGAAGCTGCTAGTTTTTTTATTTTTATTTTTTTTGAATTTATGACACGTTCTTCCTTGGTTGTATTAAAGCCCCAAAATGGCTTTTCCTTCTTCATAATACATGCTTGAAGTCTTGCTGAGACTTAGTCCATGTGAGTCCTGATAATGTGCAGTCAAGTTGTTTTCTGCTGAATTAGAAAGGCAGGATAACCTAAGAAAGTACTCAGGTTTTGCTAATATGTCCTTTCACCTCAGTGGAGGTGACAAGCATCACGGCTGTAGCCGATGCCCATGTTCAGCTATGGTGCTCTTGGTTCTATGAGAGAAGTAAGCAGGGAAAGAAGAGAGGTTTGCATGAATGTGGTGAAGAGTGCCTTCGCTGTTCTGGAGAGAAAAAGTTACCCTGTCCTGGAACTGCATGGTAGGAAGGTTTGATTTTAATGGTATCTGGTCTAACATCTTGGGAAAAAAAGGAAGATGTTGGAAGCTTCATCCCATCCAATTTCCCCTGTTGGAATACTTTGTGTTTTTAATTTGCCAGTTTTCAGGCACCTACAGTTCCTTTTGACAATCATATGATTTTAAATTCTAGATAGGTATTCCAATATCTCAGGAAGGATTGTTTCTCCTGGGTTTCCAAGTGGATGACACGTGGCTCCTGAGTTGTGCTTTCAGGTAAAAGCTTCAAGACAGATGTTGTTACAGTGTTTTAAAAGTTAGCTGCCTCTGAAGCAGATTTGTGGCATTGTGGGATGTCTCACAGTGTGCAAGGGAGAAGGAAGGTGATGTGTATTTCCAGGCCTACTACTTACATCCCAATTCAATGGCTGCTTGACAGCTTTGCCTGACTTTTCTCTCCTCTGGTAAACAAGAAGGCCCATGTGGTTTTTGATCAAGCGGAAGCAAGCACAGAAGCTTTATTTAGTGGGGGATCTGATTGCCCCCTCTTCAGCAGATCAGAGTGTTTGGGTTTTAGAACAAAAGAAAGCAGAATGCAAAGAGCAATAAATATTCTCAACCCTAATCTGCGTCTTGTATAGGACACGTTTACAAAAAAGTCCAATAAATTATTAAGGTGTTCTTGTCCCACCCTCTCTCATTTGTTTGAATACCATATGGACTCTGCTTTCTGCTGTTTCTTCAGATTGTCTTTTTGCCTATGCTAGTGGCAGAAGGAAACTGCAAACTGTATAGTTTTGATCTGACTCCTGGCACACTTTGTACTCTCTTTTGCCCTCTTAATCTGCTGTCTTTTATTTTGGTCCCAGCTGAGCAACTTGGACTCCTTTAAGCAAAATTGGATTTTCATTTTTCTTTTCTGGAAGAGGTGAAGAAAATGCTTTCTTCCCAGCAATGCCACAGCCGGCTGCTTTCTGCTTCACTGGACCTTTACTTATCACCTCAAGCTGCCTCTGTAGTTTTTGCGAACAAATTGGACACCTGTTCTTTAGCCAGGACTGCGAGCATTATGGATTTAACTCAGATTTATGGTGCATTTAAGCTTCTGGGAGTTCCTTTAATCAGCCAAGCTTCCTTGACAATGCTGATCTGTGGGCAACAGAGAAACTGAGAGTTGTGGGTGCGCTCGAGGTAGAAGGTGAAATATTTTAGTCTTGATAGAGAATCTTTTGTCTTTGTCAAATTGTGCATGGAAACTGAGTTATCTAGTAAGGAAGTCCAGCAATGCCCAGCTGGGGTTGTAGCTGTTAATTCCAACAAATTGTTAGGAAAGATGGAATCATAGAAGTGTGTGAGTTAAAAGAGCTTAGGGGATCCAGTACTGCTCCCTCTGTAGAGGCAGGATGTAACAAAATTCATATCATTCCTTGTTGTGGGTGAAGCAGACAAATCTTAAAAAGTCAGGGTGGAGAGAAGCCATAACTAATCTGACACAACAGCAGGAAGTGCTGAGGATGAAAGTGATTTTGAAAGGTTTGTTAACTGATGGATATACATTTAAAAACAAACAAAAAAAACAGAAAAGTCAATCCTGTTTTGCTTGTGTTATAAGGTTACTTTAAGGCCTACCTTCTTATTGCAGTAGGGGCTTTTCACAGACCATTGTGTCAAACTGAAGATTTGCATTCTCCTTTTTAATGTTTCTAGTGAAAATAGGCCTGAATGCACGGGCATTCCAAGCTCTGGAGCGGTAATGGCTGGAATCCGCTACACTCTTTGATGTAACAGAATGGTCTAACTGGAAGGTGTGGTTTAAGGGACCTACTGAGGAAGCAACAGGTCCTGCACAATGCCTGCAATCTATGTGCAGCTGCTTTCAGATACAAGGTTCATTCCCTGGCTTCCTTATCTTATTGATAAGAGCATGTCAGTTACTTATCTTTGTCTTGCCAGGACCGGGCATTATCCTTCTCTTGGGATGAATCAGGAGAGAGGACTAAGTGTCAAGTTGCTTTAATCTTTGGGATGTGTTTAGATATCATAAGGATAGGAAATATCTAGAAGCCCATATGAATCAGAACAGGATCTTCCAAAAATCTCATGTGATTCCTTGTGGGAGAGAAGAGTGCAGTCACTCCCTGTCTTTCCTGCTGAGATTACAAACATTTGAAAACATGCGGTGTATCTGCCCACCAATATCTGGCCTTTGTATAGAGCTCTCCCTTTTCATGGGCTACAGTGAGACAAAATATGCAAAGATGTTTTAGATTTCATTAGTCACAGTAGTTTATTCAAACATCCCTTTTGCATAAGAAACCAAGGCTTGCACTGATCTCTGGGAAAGAATGCGCTCACAGCTTGGAAAAACAGTCTGCGCAAATGACACTGCTGCTCTGCAGAGGTCAGCAGCTTTGGTGCAGGAGAGGGGGCCCAGCTGTAGATTTTGGTGACATTATTTGCAATTCAATCCCATACAGTCCCCTTTTAGGAGAACAATTCACTAAATACGGAGTTGTTCTTTTTTCCTAATTCACCATATAATTCACCTCCCAATTTCAATTAAGAAGCAATCTGTTTGTGACTGCAAGCTGCATTTGTTTAGAAGTACAGAATTATCCTTTGCTTCAGCAAAGACTGCATCCCTTAATTCTGGTGGTGAATGACTGGTTAGGGTTTCCTTTAAATGGAGTGGCATGTTGTGTGAAGAATAGCATGCTTTGGGAGGGTGAAAAGTCCTGGGGACCTAAAATTTAACTGAGAAGCAACTTTTGTTGAGCTTGGGCTTAAGGAAGTGAGGAGAACTGGGCATGAAAGAAAACAAAGGGAAATGTTAGGATGGGACATTGAAGCTGGAAAAGAGTGATAGAGTTCAGAGCAATCTATCTTGTTGAATCAGGCTGGTTCCTGTTCACACATCTAGTGGCTTTTGTCCAGTTAAGCTCTGCTACATTATGCACTTCCTTTGAGAGACAATTCCCTGATTTAGTGAGTCTCTTGGACCGCGAAGATTTAACCTATAGTCAGCTGAGAGTCTGGATATTTTATTTTCCCGTTTCATTTTATTGCTGTCTTCCATCATCTGTTTCCTGATCTTTTAATTAGTTCTAGTAATATAATGTTGGACAGGTTGGAAGAGGTATATCTAGCAATATATTTTTGGAGAGATAGAATTAGAGTTCCTCTCAGCCCTCTTCCCAGGTGTCAGAGATGTTGACCTGTGTAAAGGGCTAGTGAAATCTAGTCACCCCTTCCCTCCCTTTAAGAGCAGGATGTGATATCCCTGTCCTTGCCCACTTGGAGGGACTGGAGGGGATTTGCAAGAAGCCAGTTCCAGAGCAAGAGGAATGTTTTCCAGCTGGCAAAGCAAGATTGTTGCAAGGCTGGAAGGATTCCATCTCTCTTGAAAGCGGGACACCTCTCTTGGAGCTTCTGCAGAGCATCCAGAAGTGCTGTATGCATAACAGTTCTCATTCTGTATTTGGTAGTTGATCGTGTTCTTCCTGCTTTACTTTGCCACCAAGACTGAAAATTGCTGGTACTTTTTCAGAAATCAGCCCATTCAGCTTCCCTTCTCACAGGGGTATCCTCAATAGCAAGAATGGGATGGAGGGAGGGTGACAGCAGTGATGGTGCCAGAACCACCTTCTTAAGTCTGTGGACGTAGTCTTAAAGCCCATTTAATTTGTTATACATCTTGCTGCCTTGTAGGTTATGCTCCCTCACCCTAGGCATGATTTTTTTTCTTCCTACTGTGGTAATTGTGGAGAGCTTTCCTGCCAAACATATGCTGGGCTGGTTTTCTGTGTTGGTTCTTTGTTCAGAGGCTTGCTTACAGAGCTTCTATACTGCCTACAGTTCTTCAGCTTTGGTATTCCCAAGCTGATCTTTGCAGAATGGAAAACCTTCTCTAAAAGAAATGCTTTGCCTTTTCAGTACATGGGGAAAAGTAAAGCACAGGATGGTAATGAATTGAAAGGTATCTCTGTAGGCTGGGAAGAAATCCAGGGAAAGAGCCCTGTTTTATCAGGTTGCTAGTTACTGCTCCTGGAGGAGGCATAGCATCCAGTTTCTGTGGCCAGCAGACCCACAGATGGCCTCACTGCCATCTGTTGTTCTTCCTATGTCAGAGCTCTGCCAACATACAACATGAAATCTCTGCTGTTTTTCGTTTGCAGGAGGCCTGGGAGAACAGTCTTTTGAGCCAAGAGAGAACACCACCTCAACCGATAGTAAAAAAGCAGTTAAAACGGGTAATGTGGTACCCCACCCAGACCTTTGGGTATCTTTTATTTACTTTTTTTATTCCCTGTAAAACAAACCTTTGTCCTGTGCATGGGTGTGTGCGTGCATGCCTGAGAGACTAGCTGTTCCCAGGCATCTTCATTTACTGGTGTTTATGAACTCTCTGCAAGGGTGAATTTGCCTTTTGTGATGTGGAGGGTTGACTCCAGCCAGCAGCCAGGCATCCATGCTTAAGCTCACTGGCTTTCCACCTCCACCAGTGGGATGGGGTAAAGAACAGAAAGAGAAAAAGCAAGACAATATTAATGACAGTTTAATTAGTAAAGGAAGTAGGGGGCAAGAAGTCCCCAAACCAAGTGATGTAAATGCACTCACTCATTCCCTCCCAGAAGCAGAACAATGTCCAGCTAGTTTCCAAGCAATGGCTACCTTAGAAGACAATCCTGCAGTTTTTATTGCTGAGTGTGATGTCAGATGAAATGGAACATCCTTTTGGCCCATCTGGGTCAGTTGTTCTAGCTGCATCCCGTCCCACTTCTTGCTTACTTAAAGAAGTAAAGGTGACTCAGAAGAGTGAATTAAGAAGAAGAAAAAAAAAAAAAGCCCTAATGCTGTGCAAGCACCTCAGCGATAGCCAGGACATATGTTGTTAGCACTATTTTAGCTGCAAATTCCAAACAGCATCATGTGGGGCTGCTATCTATGAAGGAACTTAACCCAGACCAGTACACGTAGGTGGCCATGAGTGTTGCTGGGTCTGTTAAAACCATTTTACTCCAGAGCAGAGTTTTCAGTACTAGCTGGCTGCTTCTTGCTGCTGGAATATTTCATCTAAATTGTTTTGTACTTCTGTTCACCTGAAGCTGTGATATCACCTGGGCAAAGTTTTGCAATTGGTTTCTGCCACTCTTGTAGGGAAGGTATTGCTTACAGGAACAGTCTCAACTTGTGATATCACAGATATTTGCACGGTGTTGCCCTGTTGATGTTTACAACCCACTAATGTGCAGCAGGGGCTGATGTTTCCCCCTTGTAGGTCATCAGGGCAGAGGCCACACAGCACTTGAGTCTGTGGCAGGGGGTGTGTGTCTGCATTAATGAGTGCTATGTTCATAGCCCAGTGCTGCATTCCCATGTCGCAGCTGCTCTTATCTCCTGAACTTCTGGCAGGCCTTAAGTAATGGCACAGTTGGCAAGAACTCTTAAGACACTTACGTCAGTGCTTGTCTGACTGTTTCCCAGACAAATGAGGTTGAGACCTCTGAGTGAGTTTCAGAGATCAACAGGGAGTGTTCTGTGACATGCTGCAGATTCAGAGTGCTACCTGGGTTGCATTCACTGTATGGAGTCTCAGATCCATAGGTGGTTTGTGGAAACCTCTGAGGTTGATGATGTTCATCATGGAGGGAGGAGGGAATGGATTTTGGAAAGAATCTCAGTTGTGTTGGGCTTAGCAACAGTACTAGTCTGTTAAAGAGACTATGCCCACATAGACAAAGTATTAGAAAACCTGCATAGCTTTATCTTCTGTTGAAGAAATCTTCATGTGTGCAACATGGCAGTGATTGAAAGCTGTACTTCTTAAAACATTCAATCTAGGTTTCTTCTATCCCCTGGTGATACTACAGTTGCTGTTATCTTCCTTTCAGTCAGGCTTCCTTAAGGGCACAGCAAATATAAGCAATAAAAAGCAGAATATATTAGGAAGTAAGGTGTCAAGAGCTAGGACTGCTGCTAAGAATTCATCCAAGAGGCTGTATTGTTGGTGAGGAATGGAAATGTTTGTGCTGTAGAAAGGCAGATCTTGCAGAACTCCTACTACACAACATGCAGGAAAGCACTGGGCAGATGACTCTTCATTTGTCTTTGCTGGTAGGAGTTGTCAGTGTGCAAATTCACAGGGATCTGTGGCAGCTTGAGGAGCAGTTTCTGACTGGGAGTTTCTGTCTATAAGACCATTTCTCTCTCAAGACCCTTTTCCTTCTTCCAGCTGTGGCCTTTTAAATGACCCAGCAGTACCTCTGTGGGATAGGTGAGTGTGAAGAAGGGGGGAGGACAGTTCTTATTCCATTATCCTCCCTCAACATTACAACATCTACCTTGAAGGGTCTAGCAGCTGGTTTGGGCATGGAAAAATTTCTGAAAGAGTGCAGCTAGCATGCTTGGGGAAGGTGCTCTGGAGACAAATGGAACGAAAGGCAAGTTATTGCTTTATCCCGCAGCTGAGGGTATGACCTCCAGTGGGATGGGCAGACCTGTATGAGGCAGGAGGAAGGGTTTGAAGTTCATTACTTCCTTCTCTCTGTACTACCTTAATTTCCTTTCTATTATTAAGGTTGAGGGATCAAAACAGTAATGGTTTACTTGCCCATGTTTCTGCTGAAGGGATGAATGGGAGAAGAGGCTCTCAGCAGCACATCTAAACGCAGGACAAAGAGTTCAGTGGGACTTGTTTTTTATAACCCTGCAACCCATGTCCCTAACTTGAGAATCAAAGTTGTAGCCGGTCTTGTTGACTTCCATACGAAATACCACAGCTGCAGCTCAGCTCATTCCTCCTGGAGCTTCAGAAGGGCTTGCCAGCACGAAGGAGCCACTGCCAGCACTGTTGCTTTTTCAACTGAGAAAGGAGTTCCTGTTGATATGACTCTTTAGGCCAGTGCTCTCTGCCACTGTAGGAACACCTGTACTCTTATTTCCTTGCCCAAGTTCATTTGATGGGACAGCTTGGTGATACACTGGTGAAGAACATGTAAGAAGCACAGCTTATCAAATCCTTAAAGATGGTAGTTTAAAAGAAAAAAAGGTAGAATAAGCTGTTTTGAAATTTAGGCTCTCCCATAGCAAACATGAGGTGAACAGCCAGAACTACACAGAGTGAAAGGAGTTTTCTCCGGTGTCAGGCCCACACCGTATCAAAAGTGCAAATCTTGTAGGCAACTGCTACCCAAGCACATGGCAGCAACATAGACACAAGGCAAGGTACAGGGACTGCCTGGAAGCCTGAATGAATCTTCATTCAATCTCTGGTTATGTGGTCAGTAGAGATTAGAACATACCAGTTTGTCAGCCCCAAACATCCCTTCTCCAGCACTGTGTGATCCGTATGTTTTTCCATATCATTTGATATCTGGCATGTGAAAACAAAAAATTACATGTAATACCTTTTATCCTTAAGTGTAGGTTTCAGTGAAAGTGGCTCATCCTCTTTTTCAAAGGCCTCCTCACTGTGTTATTCTTACCATCGTAAAGCTAGCCCTTCCAGGATAAGCCTTTCACTGCAGATCTGAATGGGTGCAGCACATTGAGAAAATGCAGAAACATTTGGATTTGTTTGACATCCATCCTTATGCTACTCTTAAAAGAAATGCTGTGTCCTTGTCTCTGAAGCTGCTATTTGGTACAGCGAGGTGCTGGATACAGCAGGGGTGTCCCTTCACACATTTCTGAGAAAGTATATTTGTGTAATGTGCAGTGATTCTGTACAAAAAGAAGGGCTAGGTTTTCAGAGACTGTTTCCAAGTTCCAAACAAATCACTGGCAAATCTGGCTATGGCTTCTGGCTTGGATTAACATCTTGCCTTTTCTGTTTTTCTGTTTTCTGAAGCTCTAGGGTATATACCTGAGGGCTGTACCTGGAACTAAAGAGGATTTAAACAGTGTTGCCACTCTGTCTTGCAGACGGCAAGCAGAACACAACACTTGTGAGAAGCCTGAAGAAGAAGGAATATAAAGATGAGTCTGGGATGGATGCACGCTCCTCTCCCAGAGTGCGCAGAGCAACCACATCCAGGGCTGAGAGGATCTGGCCAGGGGGAGTCATCCCCTATGTGATCGGAGGAAATTTTACTGGTCAGTAGTGAAAATATTGCTCCCTGTTTGCTCTGGGGTGTCTCAAAATGTGCGGGAGATCTCTGGAGCAGTTTTCTCACGAACATCTTGGGTCTTTGAGAGCTTTTTTCCAGAGACATGGTGGTGGGCAATGGGGTTGTGCAAGGAATTGTGTACCATAGAAGCCTGAGACTAAAGTGTATGGAGAGATGATTCTTTGTTTGGAATTCAAGAAAACACTGAATGACTTGGCTGCTTTCTTGATTTCTTCAGGGACTAACATCTGTAAACTGCAGTCTCATCCTGTGTTTCCAGAAAGGGACCTTCTCTGCAGTTGGAAGAGCAGGGCAGTTTGATAACCACTTCTGTACAGTGTGGTTTTGCTTCCTTGGTCCTCCTCCTCCTGCCAGCTTAGGGCAATCCTCATGACCTGTTTAACAAGTTAACTGAGACCCTTTCCCATACTTGCACCTAAACTGCTGCCAGGAGTCTGTGGAGCCTTAGTGGAAGAGTTTGTTCTCCTTCTCCTCATACTAAAGGAGGGGTTCATGCACCCAAGCAGGATATTGCAGTGCCTGCAGGTGTCTCATGCATTTTTCATGAGACAGAACAGCTGCCCACATCCTTCAGAGTCTGAGAGAGTCTTCTCTATGTTGTGTGTGTGCCACTGCTATAACCACACAGAGTACGTAATGCCATCCTTCTGTTTGGGTGACTGTAAGAAGCAGCTCTCGTAATAGTGCAGCTCTGTTTTATATTCAGCTTGGTGCTTTGCCTTAGTTTAATATCCTCTTGGAACCTGTCTATTCCTTGCGTCTTTTTTATGTACTTCTGACCTTCTGCCCTTCTTCAGTCCTTCTTGAGAGTGGCAGCTTACTCTGTAGCCCTGTGTACATAAAAGCTACATGTTCTGTTCTGGAGCACCACTTTCTAGCTGACTGTATGACTGTTCTTGATGCAGCTGAGTGACCGCTGCAGGTATCCCATGTCCTGGGGGAGGTAAAGTGCTGTGACCTATCTTCTTGCTAGTATGAGCAAGGTGTAATACCCTACTTCCCAAGTGTCTCTCTAATAAAGTCCTGAGCTGTTCCTGAATTCAAGTACAGACCAGCAGTGTATCTCTGTACTTCCATTTGTATCTGTAAGACTTGTGCTTCTAGCTCCAATATTCTTTTTGTTACTAATTTTAAAGATAAAGCATCTGGCAGTAGTTCCACCTTAGTTTTGTGGAGCATTTATGTGAGATTCTTGGGCTTTGAAATCTGCGTGGTCACTGTGTTGCAACATGTGAGCAAATCTGGCATGCCACTGAATAGCTAGTGCACAGATCAGAGCACCAAAATGCAGTGCTAGAGAAACATTTACCCAATGAGGGCCCTTATATGCAGAAAGAAGCATTGCTGTACTTAACCAGGTTTGCTATCTGTTTTAATTAGAGCTGTTAATTCATCAAATATAGGAAGATAAAAGTATAATACAGTAAGTTAGCTCTACAGTAGGAAGATTGTCCCAGATTTTTATAGGTATCCACAGGTACAGAATTGACTATTGGAAAGACTGACTGTCCTTATAAAGTCATGTTCTTGAAAGTCAGGCTTTCACTGTTTGCTGTTCTTGGATTTCTTTTTCAGGAACCCAAAGAGCTATATTTAAGCAAGCTATGAGACACTGGGAGAAGCACACTTGTGTAACGTTTGTGGAGAGAACTGATGAAGAGAGTTTCATTGTGTTCACCTACAGAACGTGTGGGTAAGTGAGATGTATGGTGTCTGCAGCCATCAAAGTTGCAGGCATCTCTTTCATTAAAACAGCTTTGTAAGTCTAGCTCTGGCCAGAATATAACAACAGCCACTTGGGGGTATCTTTCTGTTTCAGATCTTTTTCCTAGGATAACACTTAAGTGTAAGCATGCATTTTTAGAGACGTGTGGTTATTTATATTTTTTCTACATATACACCTGTGTGTGTGTGTATATATACACTTATGTACAAACTTACATATGTAGTTATGTGTATGTAGATGTATATCAAAACATTTATACACACACTCATATGCTTACACGTATAAATGCATATAGTGTATGAAACAGGCAGCTTGTACCTGTCTCAGACTTTCCTAATTCGCTGACGAACTGGATGGGTTTATGGCTTCTCTTTTCCAGATGCTGTTCATATGTGGGTCGCCGAGGAGGAGGCCCTCAGGCCATATCCATTGGAAAGAACTGTGACAAGTTTGGTATTGTGGCTCATGAGCTAGGTCATGTGGTGGGTTTCTGGCATGAGCACACACGGCCAGACAGAGACCAGCATGTCACAATCATCAGAGAGAATATACAGCAAGGTACTTCAGGTTATTCCACCTGGCTTTTGGATGGATGGCAATCTTCCTTACTGGGCTTGTGCAAAACTCTACTGTCTGTGAGATGGGATGGAGAAGAAATATTTCTAGACTTTGCCTAGAATAAGGGTAAAAATAGTTGAATGAATAGAGATTTGGGGCATCCAACCAGAGTTGTTGGGTTGTAGGGGGATATTCCTTTAATTTGTTTTTTTCCCTTTGTTTAACATCACAGGTCAGGAGTACAACTTTTTAAAGATGGAAGCTGGGGAAGTAAACTCACTTGGAGAGACCTATGACTTCGACAGCATCATGCACTATGCTAGAAACACGTTCTCCAGGTGAGAATTGTAGATTATCTGCCTTTAGACAGATAACTCTTAGCAGTTGTCATTAGCTGTGCGGGATACGTAGAGCCTAGGATGAAATCTGTGATCCATTACAGAGATATGTATTGGTTGCAGCAAGCTCTGAAAACATTTGAAAAAGAAAAGTGCTTAAGAGAGGTATGGTGGACTACTGTATTCCCCTGCCTACTATATTCAACTTCTACTGATGATCTCAGAGACTATTTAAAGCTGTACCAGTATGTCTTAGAACCTCCACAGCCAACGTGTGTGTAAATCTGCCCTCCTGCAGGGGGATAAAGCTAAAATCAGCTTAGAATTTTGGTAGTGGTACAGCTCGTAGTTTGGAGTTGCAATATTGCCTTCTGAGTCCTCAGCAACTTTGCCAAGGAATTGGCGTCAGGCCATTATTTTTAATTACATGTTTTGTTTTTAATTTTTTAACTGTTTGTGTATGTGCTCTCGATCATGGCCTTTTCAGGCTTGTGATTCTGTGTTGTTAGGTTCCTCATGGAGAATTTTTCAATTCTGTTCCTGTCTCAGCTTATTGGCTAATTTCTGTGTGGGCTGTTTGCCCTCGACTCCTATCTCTTCTATCCAGATGGAGCTCGTTTTCTGAGTAGAGGGCTCAGGAAGATGCGTATAGAGAGGGGGAAATGAACGTAAATTTATGCCCTGAATTTGCAGTAAGAACTACTAGATGACCAGCTCTATTTTGCTACATTATTTGAAGGTTTTTCAATAAATAAAATAGAAGCTTTCTTCCCTACATACCTCAAATAAAGGAGATGAGAAGCAGAGCGCAAATATTTACTCTGAATAATTTTTTTTGCTAATATTAAATGCATCTTTGGGGCCTTTAAAATCTTCTTATTTGCCAGTTGTATGGCAGTGCTAAGCCTAATGTTTTTTGCTTTTGTTTCTGAAACTTTGCATCAAGCATGAGAAAATATCAAACTTGCTGAAGTACTGCTTGTTATGGCAGGGAGAGATGGTGATTGGGCAAAGATGTATTGCTGCCTTCAGAGATTTCTTTGGATCAGATACCCAAAGCAAATGATTATATTTCCCTTGAGGCATCTGCTGGACTGCCCCAGCATTTGCTGGACTCTAAATAGATGGAACTGTCTTGCTCAAAAGCAGGATTAAGTTATTACTGCCATTTATATTGTGGATGCCTTTGAGTCTGTCTCTCTTGAAAACCAGGGTCCTTCAGAACACTGCTGGCCCAAAAGGGATACAAATGGCAAGAGTCCTTCTAAATTTAAATTGATGCTTAATAGGATTTTTAAGTCTGTTTTCTTTAAGTCTTTTGTCTCTGTGACCCACCCTCACCCCAGTAGCAGTCTTTGTGCAGTAATTGAACTGAGCACTAAGTGCATCTGTGGGCTGATTGTGCTTTCAGAGTAAATAGGCAGTGCTGGGAACAGGCTTTTACTTAACCAAAAACCTGTCTTGAGATCTACTGCCCCAGGCAAATTGTGCTTACTCTGACCAATGAGCATGGATACAGATTTGTGAACGTGTGCATGTCTCTTCACCTTACTGAGTTTTGCAGGTGCTGGCCAATTGCAGCTAACAAAGACATATGACCCACGAAGATACTAAGTTCCAGCACAGTTTGTTATGGCTAATGGCTAGATATGGGAGACAGTCTCTCTATGACACTTCTAAGGAAAGGACTGTAGCAGGTGTGTGAATAGTTCAGCAGGCTACATAAAGTTCACATGGGGAAAAAAGATGGTATAAGTTCTCTGCTGGTGGAGAACAGCATGTGATGAGGACCAGGTGACGGAATTGTGAATCATATGGCACGAGAAGCTCTAAAGCTGAATCTGTGACTCACTGAAGCAGCTCTTACACTGCAGTCAGCACAACCTTGTTGCTGATAAGTTCTGGTGAACACTGATAACAAATCATATGGTATTTGACATTGTTAAATACTGCCCCAAATCCTAGGATGTTTTTATTCTTTCTGTCGTGGACATGAAGTTTAGGTCCAGTTATTCTGGGATATGATGATCCCTACCAGTAGAAGTTGCTTTCAGTGGCACTATTGAGAATTGCTGCAGGAGTAACTTATAGTTTTCCATTCAAAGACCTATGTGGTCTAGGCCAGAAAGATTCTCTCTTGTTATCAGTTCTTTGTTTGTGAAATGATAAAAACTATATTTAGTGCCTCCTAATTTGGAGTCACGTTTGGCAGTAGTGCTTGTTTAGGGAGTAGACGATTCAGTTGGTGGAAACTATAAAACCTGAAATCTTGTTGCCCCAGCCCAGGTTACAGCCATCCAGAAAAAAATATTTGGCAGATAATTATCAATCACAAGGTAATTTGAAATTGAGTTGTTTGCATTTTGTGAGCAATATCCTATAGATGTATACAGTGACTGGGAGGCTGGAGGTTGTGTATATGCAGTTGTGAGGGGCATAATAGTCAAAAGAATCAAAGGTTTACCTGTGCAGGTGGTTGTTCCTCTTACATTTTGTCAGTCTTCCCTGATTGAGCCTGGAAATCAGCAGGAAGCATTTCACTTGCCTCAGAAGTACATCCCTGCCAAATGTGAAGTTCTTCTCTGAACTCCCGAGGAGGCTTGAATATGTAACATGAGCAAACCAACCTGTCTCTGTGTTCTTGTTGCTCTTGGAATTGGCAGATTTATTTTTGATACAAAAATTCAGACTGAAGCATGCAGCTGGCATTTAGAATGAAAGACTGAATTTGTCAATCAAAATTTGATGTACTTCAGAGTTTGTGAGTACTGCTTTATAGTGTAGATCAGGAATTTTCTTACTACTGGAAAAAAGCTCCTTCCATGACTCTATTTATTTTAAAGTAGATTAAATTCTTTCCCTCCTATTTCTTCTGTCAATTTGCATATTTACAAAATACGTTTATCCATAAAGTGTTTAATGGCATTTTCTGTTCAAGACTGACAACAGCTTTGGACAGCTGTGATCCAAAAAGTCCACTTACAGTATTTATTTAAAATTAAAGCAAAAATTCTCACAAACTTTATTTTCCCAAGGCTCTCACTCAGCTGAGCAGCCCAATGAACCAAATTGCTTGTCTAGTTAGATCTTAACTCACACTTTGAAGACTCTTGTATCAGGACTTACAGCACTAAAATTACTGCCATTACTGTCTCACTGGGCTCTATGGACAACAGTATCCTTTCTGTCAGGAAGAAGTCTGCCTCATGGAATCAATACCAAAGCTTCAAAATCTCTGTTAGCATAGGCACTGTCAGGGTTGTTAGGCATTTAGGAGTGCAGTGAAATGGTTCCTATGGACTGGACAGCCTGACTACTAGAGCTTAGATTTTTTTACCAACCTGGCATTCCATTTTCTGATTATTCCCTCTCACGTTAGCTGTGCAGTTTTAATGATGTCTGTTGCGTGCAAGCTCTTGTTTGTGTGCACTTACTTTGCATTTTGATGGAAGTGAGGCCTGAACTTAAATCCTTTATTGGACTGAGATCAGAAGTGCAGTAGACAGCTCCTGAGTGCGAAGCAAGGGGAAAAAAGGCAGAGACAAATGGAGTTATTAGTCTGGCAACTCATGCAGAACAAAAGTAGAGCACTTGATCTATTTCCTGTCTGTAGAACCACAGCCATTGCCAGTTCAGCCTCACCTGCTACCAAACAAACTTCCTTTCCCTCTGCTCATAAGTGTCCAGTCTGCACTTCTTAGTCAGGCTGTCAGATGTGCCATGAACCTTCTGCATGAATATTTGTTCTCAATCATGGCAATAAATTTGTCCATTCTGAAACAGCAATCAGTGGCAATCCTGATATATCAAAGATTTGCTTTGCAAGGCTTGCAAGATCTGCCTGTATGTTTGGAAGCTATCTGCTGTATGACCACCTCAAGACATATGTTTATCATAATCTGCCTTACTCTTACTTGTTAGCATGGGGTATGTGCTCAAGGAAGACCTGCAAGGATGGCTTTGTGTTCATCATGTCACTTTCCCTACTTCACTGCTCTTTGTCTCTCTGCTCTTCCCTTTAGAGGGGTTTTTCTCGACACCATCCTTCCTCGTCGTGATGACAATGGAGTCCGGCCAACTATTGGTCAGCGTGTTCGCCTGAGTCAGGGAGACATTGCTCAGGCAAGGAAGCTGTACAAGTGCCCAGGTAAATATGGCTTGCGGGAAGGGCTACAACTTCAGTGTAGACACAGTTTATCTGGAAAGCAATGAAAATCAAGAGCATCTTTGGTGAAAAGACTCAGGAATTGTAGGCCATCAAAAGCTTTAAGCCAAAGGTGTGGAAGAACTGCACTTGTTTAACATGTCTCTTGTTGGTATTTTGCTTGTATTCTTGTTTGGTTAGGGCTTTAGTTTTCTCCAGTGTTCTCTACTGAAACTTTGTAAGAGAAGTGTAGGGTAGCTGTAGTATTAGCATTTTGCTTGTGTTTTCTTATAAATTTACTGTCTAGAATTAAGGGTATAGGCTCTGTTTGTAGAAAATGAAATTGATATGTAAGACCACAGACAGCTGGTAAGCAGGAGTTAGCAAAATGGCAAAGGATTTTCTGATAGACTTAGGTCTCCGCACACCAACCCTCAAAATTCTGTCTTTCTATACAGGTGCTCTCCCAAGGGAGAGCTTTATTGAAACCTTAAATGATTATGGTGTGTTGCACTAAAGCTTTGGGTATGACGTGGAAGCTCAAAGATGCAAGTCTAGTTGCTGCAAGTGGTTGCTTTGGGCTGCTCAAAGAAAGACTGTATCCCTCTTTCTGCTGCAAAAGAGGTAGTAGACTCAGAAGAGCTTTGGTAGACAACCTATCTAATTATATCTGACTACTGAAGACTGGTAGTCTGAGTCTTGCTTTATCCAGAGTCTGCAAAGATTAGCAAAATTTATCCATGAGAATAGAAGGATCCTTTTAAACTGGAGATGATAGACAGTAGACATTTATGCAACAGTTATGGATGAATAGATTAAAAAAAGAAAACTAGATTTCAGAGAAGTCAGCCAGACTTAAGGATGTGCAGAGTATGAAGATATAAACAAAGGATTTGAGGAATTATCACACCTGTCTAGCACCTGCGTGAAGGATTGCAGCAACTGAAAATGAAGAAAGCATGGATAGTGTGATGCTAGGAGGGAGAAAATGTAGAAAGCACTGAGTTTCTGCTGGTAGTGGAACATCCATGAGAAGATACTTGATAATAGATTTGCCCTAGTTTTGCAGTATGACTCTAACATTTGTAATAATGTAGGGAAGGAAAAAAAGACGTTTGCAAACATTGCCCAGGAGTTTGGCCACCATGTTTATGATAAAGTGAGGCCACATAAATATTTTCTAAATCAGTGTATGCTAAGCAGAACAAAAGATTAATCTATGTGGAGTAAACATATATTAGGGAGAGGGGAGAAGGTGATAGGTAGGAGAGCAAGGTTTTACCAATATACAGAGGCACATCTTAGGATCATAGAAACATCAAGTTTGGAAAAGACCTCCAAGATCATGTAGTCCAACTGTCCATCTACCATCCATATTTCCTCACTAAACCATGCCCCTTAGTATCATATCAAAACTCTTCTTGAACACCTACAGGGATGGTGATTCAGTCACCTCACTAGGCAGCCCATTCCACTGCCTGACTACTCTTTCAGAGAAGAAATTTTTCCTACTATCCAACCTGAACCTCCCCTGGCCCAACTTAAAGCCATTTCCTGTAGTCCTATCACTATTGGAGAAAAGGCCAATCCTCACCTCACCACAACTTCTTTTCAGGGAGTTGTAGAGAGCAATAATGTCTCCCCAGAGCTTCCTCTTCTTCAGACTAAACAATCCCATTTCTTTCAACTCATAAGACTTGTGCTCCAGACATCTCACCAACTCTGTTGCCCTTCTCTGGACACACTGCAGAGCCTCAATGCCTTTCTTGCAGTGGGGAGCCCAAAACCAGACACTCAAGGTGCAGCCTCAACAGTGCTGGGTACATGGGGATGCTCACTGCCTTGCTCCTGCTAGCTACACTATTTCTGATACATGCCAGGTGCCACTGGCCTTCTTGGCAACTTGTGCACTCTGCTGCCTCACGTTCAGCTGAACATTGACCAACACCCACAGGTCCATTTCCTACACAGTCTTCCAGTCACTCTGTGACTGAGTCAGATTTAATCAAATCAGGTTTCACACTTAATCTGTAGTCAGTTCTTCCAGCTCAGATTTCCTGAGGCAAACTGAAAGCTACTTTTGGCCTGAGGTTAAAGTCAAACTAAAAGCTACAAAGCAACTTTTTTTTTTTTTTTTTTAAATGAGGACCCGTCTGAGTCTCGAGTTTTCTGCTTGCAAAATAAAACATTTATACTCTTCTTTC